TCTGTAGTGACAGAATTGCTCCTGAAAGTATTAGAACCTTACCGGAAAGAAGGTAGGTTTCTGTAACCTATTTAGCGTACCTAATTCTCCTATTAAACATTTGATTAGTTTTCCTTATCCTTTTCCATTGGTTCATTGCTCAAGGCTGCATACTTGATGATGAAAGGGCTAGATTGTATGCTACCATTGTCAATAAGGGTTGTGCTGCAAGGTTTGCCTTTGCGGCTGCTACATTTGGTGAGGTCTCAGAAGCACTTTTCTGGCTGCAGTTGCCTCGTGCTCTTAACCACTTGATGAATAAATTAGTAAATAAGTCTCCACAGAAAGCACCTATTTCAGCACCAAATTTAGAGCTTTATGACACATCTTTACTTAGTAGAATTACATCAAAAGGGAAATCAACACGAGAAACTGGGTGGAGGAATGCATTGGTAAGTCTTTAGTGGTTTTAACTGTTCTGTGTTCAAATAGTTTAAAGGGTTTGAGTACCATTTAGGTTGGCCTTGTATATCCCTTGTATATTGTGATTTTAAAACTTTTGCTGGCAATACATATTTTCTGGTTAGCAGAGTCAAGGTCAGCTTAGATTAATGGCTTTTGAGCAAGAAGACTTATGGGAAAGTGCTAATGAGCGTATACCTTGGCATGAGAAATTGGAGGGAGAAGAGGTAATTCAGAACCGTATACACGAGTGAGTTCACAATCTTTATGTTATTTTATTGCTATGGTTAACAGTTGAACAGTGAAGTTGCTGCAATGTCTTTGTAGAATGCAAGATGTTCTGAATTTATTTAATATCTAAGTAGAAGCTTGTTACTTTTGCTACTTCTTTTTTGCTCCTAGAAGAGAAAAGCAAAATAAAAGAAGTTTTTAGATACAAAAACAAATAATATTTTTTATTAAATTTTTTTTTTGTGACTATCAAAAAGCATGATTTTACTTTTACATGGGGTAATTGTGTTAGAATTTGTGTTGCTTCAGTTATTTGTTCATTTTAATCTATAGTATTGTGTTTTTTACTGTTTGCTTTTGCTTTTTAACAACTTTCGAAAAATATAAAAAGCAAATAGCAGAAAGTAGCAAAGTAACAACAAATGGAGCCCCATTTTCTCATAACGGATAATATTTTTAAAAATTTTTTTTTCAATAATACTTTGTATATTATGAATAAATTAGATGTTTGTCATAACTCTTTTTGATATATGGTACACTGTTTGGAGTTTCCAAACTTTGTGGATACAAGGTTACCTAGAGTTTCTGCACTTGATCTCCTATTATTCTCTCTTTAACTGTTTTCTTCTTTTTCTGCAGTTATTATATTTTCATCTTAGGTTCTTTCTAAATGGAACTGAGTTAGTGTAATTTTAGATAAGCTTCAAATCAGCCTAATTAACCTGAAAAGCAAGCTATCCAACCTTTTCCAATGCTCCCGTAGCACACATCAATTCTGATTTCTAATTATGGTGCTGTAGTTCGAAGATTCTAAACATTATTCAGCATCAGGCAATCGGAAAATTTTACAAGACATAAAAGCTACTTGTCCAGTTGTAGCTTGGTATGACCTTAAGTTTCTTATTTAACAGACTGCTACCTTTTTCCCAGCTAGTTAAAAAACCTGCGTTTTAAACTGCAGCATTGGAATTGACACAGCTATGTTATTATCAAGGACCTGCATATTACAACAGTTTTTGCTCGGTGTAACTTTCTAATTATTTTGGTGGTCAATTTGTTTAAATCAAAGTGAATAAGAGTTCAAGTGCACTCATTGAGCACTGTGGTAACTTTCTCATTTGTTTTAATCTTTTTGTCTGCAAGTCCTTAAGCTTACATTTGGAGAGGGACCCAAGGGTCGGGAGGGAGGGGGCAGTCGAATCATAAACTTAATCCTTCATTTGAAGAGTAACATTCACTAGGTCAAGTTTGTGTTATTCGGTGGCTGCCATACTGGTAATTATAATTTGTATTTTTCATAAGCAGGCTTGTCTCGGTTGGGAATTTAGAAGGTGCTGTCAGTTTATTGCTTTCCACTTCTCCGGAGAGCCCTTACTTCTATCCGAATGCACTACGTGCAGTTGCTCTTTCATCTGCAGTGTCAAGATCTCTTCTTGAGCTAGCAGTTAAGGTGAGAGTTAACTTTGAATTCATTTTTCTAGATTAAAAAATGTGATTTTCTAGGTTTGGAATCTTGCATATCTATTTTAGGATTCTCTCAAAACTGTCATATTTTTGGCTGCTATTTACTGCTGCATGATCATCTAGGTTGTTGCTGCTAACATGGTCAGAACTGACCGGTCATTATATGGCATTCATCTTCTCTGTGCTGTTGGAAGGTATCAAGAAGCTTGTTCGCAGGTTAGGTTCTGCTTGTTGAAATAAATCCGTGTTTTTCAGTTTTATTGAAGACAATCATTGAAATCCAACCCAATACTTGTTTCTTTTCATGTTTTGCGTGTAATAGAATCTTTAGGATTCTTTTGTTGTATTTTACTCTTTACTTATCTATGATTTGTGCATATATGTAGGCATGGATTCACCTATGTATATCTACATTAGAGGCTCGTAGTTGGCTAGTGGTGTTAAAAAACCAGTGCGTTGAAGAGCTCATGAATGAGCTCGAGTAGAGCTCGTTAGTGTTGGGTTATCAGGCTAAATAAAACATATATGAATGATAAATTCGAGCTCATCTAATAAATGAGTAAATGTTTGAATATATGTGAACTTGGCTCATTTATCTTCACTAGGAAGCTTGATAAGTTGTCCATAAGCATGCTCAACAAGAGCATGTTTATCCTTTTGAAGTAGATCATTTTGAGCATCAATATTAATATCTTTTAGTACAAATCAAATATAAATATTATCTCTCATATCAATTAAAAGTTAGTGTGATCTACAAAGATCTTGAGCTTGGCAAATTTATCCAAGCCAAGTTCAGACAACCATTCTTGAGCTCGAGCAGAGTTCAGTTTCTTTTTGAGCTTGGTAGTATTTAGTTGAGTAGCTCCTAAGCAAGAGAGAACTTGGCTTGTTTACACCCTCCTTGACCCTTGATTCTGCCGTGTTTGTTCATCAATTTGAAGAAGTTTATAATAATGTCAATAATGGGAATTTGGTTTCAAAATTGTATAGCATTTTACAGTATATAACTGCAGAAAAGCCTCCACAATGCAAATTAAACACAGTTTCATTGAGAAAGATTTGAACAAATATGAGCTAATAAAGACAAATGAAAACACGTTGGATTCTTCTGTTCTATGTATTCCATAAATGATTTGCACAATCGAATAGATAAATTACATGCAAAACAGAAGCAAATTATTGAATGATAATAGCTGGTTGATAGAAGCTTTGATGAGTTATGGATGGTTATTCTTATTCTTTGGCCTGTTTTATGGCACTGGTTACTTGGGTTGGAAATCTCTTACAACCTGTTTCATGGCACTGGGTACTTAAGTTGGAAAGAGAATGATATTATTTCTCAACAGTGCATAGAACAGCTACATATATTATGTTTAATTCTTGTTGTCAGTATTTTGACTGACGGGTTATTTTAACTCTTATGCAGCTACAAGATGCTGGATGTTGGACTGATGCTGCTACTTTAGCTGCGGCACATTTAAAGGGATCTGATTATGCAAGGTTTCTAATTTTTTTTCTTCAGGAAAACATTAGGTTTTTCTAGCATTTAAATTCCTAGCATTAGGGTAACTCCATTTTAGTTCTATTGACATGCTGAAATTTGCCTTTTTTTCTCTGTAACATGCTAATATGCCATCTTTATTGTTTCAATGAAACTTTGATCCCATGTTGCAAAGCAATCTATTTGATTTATTCTTTAAGATACTTAAACAGAGGCTCTGCCTTTAATCATGGTTAGGATACCTTCATTTCAGATTGTTCTTTTTGCAGGGTTTTACAAAGGTGGGCTGAGCATGTCCTTCATGCTGAACACAACATTTGGAGGTACAAGAAATGTTCTTATTGTTCTTCTAGTACTTGTTATCCTCTGCGTAATTTGCATTCTAAAGCTTAAGATGGTTCGATGCAGGGCACTTATTTTATTTGTTGCAGCGGGGGCGATCCAGGAGGCATTAACTGCCCTTCGAGAGGCGAAGCAACCAGACACAGCTTCCATGTTCATACTGGCTTGCCGTGAAATTCATGCTGAAATTGTCACTAATTTAGTAGGTTCAGATGATGAATCAGGGTCATCAATCAAGGATACACTGATTTCCTTGCCTGGTTTAAACCCAGAGAATGAAGATGTTATTGCAGTTGCTGAATATTTTGGGCAGTACCAAAGGAGATTGGTGCACCTATGCATGGACTCTCAACCATTTTCAGATTGACTGTGCTAGGGCAAAGTCATATGATCACATTCTACGATTTACAGTGAAGTAATGTGGATATTTTGTTGGAAAAACTTAACACCTGAGGGCTAGAAGAATCGGTCTCATCTCAGCCTCTTATGCCCAAGTAAATGACGAGAATTTTCCTTAGTATCCAAGTCTGGATCAAAGAACAAGTACTCGAGCAACATTACGGAGCATGCTACTAACATTCAACCACAGAGTTTGGTGTTCTGGAGCGAGTAGTGCAGTTGCTGCCCTCGGGAAAGAAATTTATTGCTATAGAAGACATCGTTGAGTCTTATTCTTTATTGATAGCTGCCCATGGTGGCATTTTCACAAAGATGATCTCCAAAGCTGATCAATCTCATCGATTAGAAACTTTTGGGCGTAAGTATAAAAAAAACCCTTGAATTAAAATTAAATAATTATTCAAGTTTTTATTATTTTATATTAATAAATTAAATATTTAAATATTTATTTTCATCAAATGAGCTCTTATTAAATGAAAATTTGTTAATTATTAACATTAATTTTCATTCAGTTAAAGATTTAATTGGATGAAAATAAATGTTTAAGAATTCAATTCAATTAATTGTAATAAAATGATAAAAGATTTGAATAATTATTTAATTTTTTGCTAAAAGGGTTTTTTTTTTTATACTTAAAGCCCAACTTTCTTCTTCACTCCCCCTAGGATTGCACTTCACATTCTTTTTTGACAGTTTAAGCGATGTAAATTGTTCCCATACTTTTTATCTGTATCAAATTTTGATTTCAATTTCAAAGGGATTTTAGAAAATTTTGTTTATAGCATATTGGGGAAATGCCTCAAAAAAATCAACGGTTTCGTGTCCTGCTGGATATTTTTCTCTTCGGTAAGGTAGGAACCTGCAAAGAGGGGCAATTTCAGGGATGGAGCAAGCCGACAAGGAGGAATCTGAATCTCTAAACTCTTAACATCTATAATAAGCATAACGAAACGCACATAGCATTTTTTTTTTAATACATGTAACATCTTCGTGAATAAACATGTAACATTCAAACGCAAGACAGCAAGACTGTACGAGGTATGTTTTGAGAGTTGGCTTGTACATGTTACCTACCTCATTGTTAATCATAAAGCTACATCATCTAAACACCAAGCTAAAAATGGTCACTCTGGTTACATGAATATTAAGTAGCATCCTGCAAGTGATGACAGAAATCTTCATCTCTTGGGTGCAACCATATCAAACATGTCATTTCCATCTCATGTTTAGGTCCCCCAATACATCTTTGATAAGGTTGAGTCCAAATTTGTCTGCTAGTTTCTGTATCAGAGTAATGGAGGCTAAATTCATCTCCAAGATACTTCTTCCACATGAAAACACATTCAAGAGGCCATATTGTAGTCATTTATCGAATCAAGTTGATGCAAGCATGAGAAATTTGCTCAGGTTTCCTAGTATGTGTTAAAAAAGAATGCTGTTCACCATGGAAGAGAGGCTTATGCCTCATAAGAGCGGTTGATATCCAGCAACATCTTCCCTAATGTACAATAGCATTAAAAAAAACTCTAAAACAAAGAAACTTACTTGATTTGACGAGGTACTCAAAATTTAAATGCCTTCAAAAATTTCACCAAATACCACAAACCTAAATGCCAGATACAGATGCATTGATATTTGGCAGTGATAACATATCTTCAAGATCTTGAGTACTCAATGCAAGAATCTCCTCCGACATCGAGCAGATCCAAGCTCCTCATAATCAGCCTTGGTGACACACATTGATTCAAATTCCGGATTGGATGCCAAAAGTGAACCCCCTCGCCACACACCTAGTATCGGACTGACAAGCATCCCAAAGATTTTACCAAATATGAAGAAATAGCTTTTCAAAGACATATAACATGTTAATACTTCATTGAAGGAGAGAATTTACTCTTCTTGAGTTGTTATCTTGACTTGATAGTCATCTGGGACAAGTGGGCGAAGATCCTTTTGTCTGAATTGAAGTATAAAGTATGAGTGTAAATCAAAGTGTTACCTCAAAATTGATGGTAATACAGTCTAATGGTGAAGCGATCAAGCTTACAGTCTTTCAGCAAACCGAGGAAACAGTGTGCTTCCACCAGTCAATATTATGCTGTTCAAGCACAACATTTAAACACTTGTAAGTGGCATGAGCAAAATCAAAATTTGAAAAAATCAGATACTTTTTAAAACTGTACTTGAAGAATATAAAACCACCTTTGATAAAGTACAGGATGAAGATATGGATGGCAGGCATTGACAGCTCGAACAATGCATTCTGCTAGTCCAGCCTCGTTCATTCCTGTAAAGAGAGAACACATCATTTTCTCAAATGCTTTCTTCTCTATCACATGGTTTAACAAATTAGAAAACTAGTTCTTAGTGACAAATTTAAGTATCACATTAGAGATTTTTAAAATTCAGATACTACATTAAACATTTTTCTATAGTTCAAGAACAGTTCATGACATTAAACCTTTAACAAATTAGGACCTAATTCTAGTTACAAATTCCAAAACTTCCTGCATTCAAACTACAAATCAACTACTTGAATATCTTCTACATTGATTCACATATAAACTCTCACAATTAACAAAAAAAGAATATGATACACACCCAAATCTGCAGGTTGGAAGATCATCTCCGGAACAAGAAACCGTTCATTTGTTAAGTCAAACTCCTGTACCCAGCAGCCAAGGCAATACTTTGAATAATCATTTAATATGGGCAGGCAAAATCACCCACTTAATAAGAAAGATAAACACTACATTTTTAGTTAAATCCATTATCTTCCTCTCAGTCTTCTCCATGACTTCCAACTTATCTCTTTCTTTCTTTGTTTCCACAGCTCTTGCAGGAGGGGCTCCATCTGTCAAAGTAAGATGCCTCTGAGCCGCCTCCGGGTCTTTAACATAACCCTTCGTGTGAGTAACACCATCAGGCAAGATGTAAGTACATCTAAAAAGGTTGTCTTTTCCATGTTTCCTGTCAAGATTGTTTACACCATTTCATAATAGCAGAACAAATTGCTCATTGCTTTCAAGTGTTTAAAAGCACACATTGCAAGCAAGCAATGATAATAACTTGGGTTTCAAGAAAAAACATAGAAAATAAACATATTGCAGGCAAAAATATTGTTTTTTTGGTAATTACCGGGCAATCTGGAGATCTCTTTCAACATCGAGAGAAACAAAGCACAGCTTCTCTTTAACATCATCCATTAAAAAAGTCTCATCCATTACATTAACGGAACGATACGAAACCAATTCCTTCAAATAATTAGTCAAAGCTTTCCCTCCCAAATCAATCCTCTTCACCCCATAATTCACCGTAAAGTTCTGAAAGACCGGCGCCGCATGCGTGAACGAGAACCCACAATCCACCACCAAACTACACTGCGCCTCCGAAACCAGCCCATAGGGACGGCGGCTGGACTCGTAGAGGTGGACGAGGGAAGGCGAATCGGCGACGAAGAGGGAGTTGAAGCCGAAGTCTTCAAAGACGAGTTCGTCGGTCGAGCGTTGGATGGAAGGAAGGGAAAAGAGGGGTTCAGTTAAAAGGAGGCAGGAAGAGGAAGGGGTGACGTGGAGGAGAGAGGTGAAGAGGTGGGACCAGATGTCGCGTTGGAGATCGGGGTTTATTAGGTAACCGCGGTCGATAGGGCGGCGGATGGCGGCCGAGGTTAGGTCTTCGTTTGTGGAGGAGAGGGTGGTGGTGGGGTGGAGGAACTTTTTGGAGGTAAGAGGGCGGTAGAGGCAGTTTGGGATTACAACAGCGGGGTCGCGTTCGCCTCCTTGTCCCGCTTTAATCAGGCCCCCGCCGTTGTCTAGTACGACAACGTTTGACATTGCGGGGAACTGAAAATAGGAGATTGGTTCCTGGAAAGTGGACAGTGGTTTGGGGGTGGATTTGGGAGAGGTTTAAGGAGATACTGGCTGGCTGGGTTTGAAGCCTTGAACAAGCCAGAATACTTGAGCACTTGAATTGTAATGTTAATATCTTTTTTCACACTTTAATACAAGTTGAAACTTGCCTTTGTTTTCAGAGTGACAACTGACAAGGAGCTATAGGGGAATTAGATGGGGGCTATATCAAATTTTAGTTGGTTCAAAATGCGAAGGGAACTCAATCCTTCTATAGACTTGGTTCTGCAAACGACAAAACCTTTCCATTGCTAGCTGTAAGAATATTGCAGAAAACATAGAAATTATGACAACAATCCATCGTATACTTATACTGTATAGTTTATCGAAATTTTTATGTGCATTGCACACCCTCATGCAGGTAACTGATAAGTACAAGTAAACAAAATGAAAGCAGGAAAACTAGAAGATGAAAAAAATCTTCCAAATATGTTGGCAAAGAAGATTGATGTGATGGTAATGATGTCCACCACCATGGGGAGAACTACTGATTGATATATAGGCGAATTCATTAAGGTGGACTGCGATGCGGCTAGCTCGGACGCCGAGCACCAATCCATCTCCTCGAGCTTTTGTGAGGATTGTTGATAGTCCTTTAGCAAAAGATAATGGGTCTCCTTACCTGAGTCATCTTGTTGGAGAAAAGGTGTTAGTGATCTGGCCATTTACAACAATTGAAGAGGACACAGTTGTGACACACTTCATAATATGGGATACCCACCCTAGATTGAACCCTAGTCTATGCATCATTTGTTTTAGAAAGTTCCACTCAACCTTATTATAGGCTTTACTCATAAATAATTTTAGAGCTGGCCAATTCTACTAGATCTCTTGTTTTTCATAAAGTGAAGTAATTCATAGGTCATCAAAACTTTATCAATAATTAATCTTTCCGGAATAAAAAGGTTCTGGGTTTCACTAATTCAGTGGGGTAACACAAGTTTGAGTTTGTTGGCAAGGGTTTTGGCAATGATTTTATATAGCACAATACATAAATTAATTGCCCTAAATTGAGTCACCTATTTTGACTATTTTGTTTTCGAGATTAAGATAATATTGGCGTGATTTATCTTCCTAAAATCACCATTTTCCATTTAGAAAATGTAAATAAAAATTAATCACATCACTACCTATAATATGTCAAAATTTTTTAAAGACATTTAAGATGAGATATAAAAAATAATTAAAGGGTTAATTAAGGTAAGAAATAAATTAGTTGGGGGGTGATTTGGAGAAAGAACTTTTGATTTCCATTTAGAAAATGTAAATAAAAATTAATCACATCACTACCTATAATATGTCAAAATTTTTTAAAGACATTTAAGATGAGATATAAAAAATAATTAAAGGGTTAATTAAGGTAAGAAATAAATTAGTTGGGGGGTGATTTGGAGAAAGAACTTTTGATTTTGTTTTTTTGTTTTAAACACATGTCAATCATTTTTTTGATATTTTTAATTTAATTTAATTTAATTTTTTTCCTTTTAGTTCAATTTTAGTTTTTTTTTTTATTATTTTTTGATTTGCTTCTTTATTTGTTTAGTTTTATTTACATACATATTTTGATTTTTATATTAGGAACATGTTTTAATCATTTGATAATATAAAAAAAACTAAAAATGTGTTAAACAAATAAATTCGTAATTTTTTATAATTATATTTGTTTGTATCATGTAAATTTAAAAAAATAAAATAAATTCTTTCAATGTTGAAATTAAAAAAAAATTACAAGTGATGCTTAAAATTCCTTAATGAGAGATTTTCTTGAAATTTTACCAAAAGTGTTTCATAGATTTTGGAAATATTGTAATTAGGTGTGTATTTTCATAAGTTTTTTGTTTTTATCATTTATTATCTATAATAAAATAAAATAATAATGATAAATATAAATATAAAAAATAACAATTAAGTTACTTTTTTTTCTTTTGTTTTAAATATTTTTATAAACAAGTTTATAATCTACTAAAAAATAAAAAATCATAAATTTTGATGAAATAATTAATAAAAAATATAAAACTTATAATATAATATGAAAAGATAACAAAAAATGTAATTGTTATATATGAAATATTATATATTTTTTCATTTAATATTTATAATATTTTTGTTATTTTTTATAATTTTAACTTTTTTTCTTCACATCTCAATTTTTTTTCAAAATTTTTTATAAATGAAATTATTTAATTATATTTTCTTTTTCACACAGGTTTTCAAAAATAAATTTTTAAAAAATCATATAATTTTTTGAGAATATATTTTCAAAAAATTATAAAGCTTTTTAAAAATAAATTTTTGAAAATTTAATTTTTTGGAAAGGTTCGTGACTTTCTGAAAAGTTATAAAACTCTAAAGAATTATAAAAAATAATTAAATAATTTCACTTAAAATATTAAAAAAAAAAAAAAGTTTTGCACCACTCTTTTCATTTTCAAGTTTAATGAACTCGTTTTTGGAAAATCTGTCGTGATTCAAGCTCAAGCCCATATTTCCAAGTTTTCATGGAGTTCAATTAAAGACGTAACAAGCCATCTGGACTTTCTCAAAGCTCAGCTTGGCTCCATTTTGCATTTTGCAAGAATCTTCTCTTTCTCAAACCCATATTTTGACCCATATTTTGTTTTGCGGTTTGAATGTTAAATGGGCGATGACTAAAGTACGGATAATAATAATAATAATAATAACAACAATAATAATCATTCTTCTGTTCCTCCAAATCAATCCAGTTTCTAGGGAATTGGAAAAGTTGGCGTCGAATCCTTATTTGTTACATTCGTCAAATAAAAAAAAAGTTATTTTAAACCCAAAAATTATGCATAAGCAAAAACAAAAAAAAAAACCTACTAACATTTGTGCTCAACTAAAAAATGGTTATATTAAAAAATAATTATCAGTTTCTGAGAAGCTAAATAGAGGGAACACAGCCAGGGGTCCTAGCTAAACCAACACACGTTTTGTCCCTGATTTCCTTGACTCACCTTCTCTAATGCCAACAACTCCTAAATTTACACCATTCCTGAATAATGGAACCAATGAACACTATGCCTTGGCTGCGAAATGGATGTCATGCCATTTAAATGAACCTATTATACTTCCTCGAAAATCACATTAACATGAGACCATGGAGCGGGATACCATAGAAGAGATACATACATACATACATACTTGGTATCCTTTCTGAAAAACCTGCACATGGACCAATCACCGTTGGGGTGGTTCTGCATCAGAAGTGGTACTTGGTCCAGCACCATTTTCAACTGAAGGAGAGGTGCCCCATTTTCCTTCAGACTCCAAAGGCTCAATGATATGTACTCCACCATCTGCTAGCCCCAAAGCAAATTGATTTGGGTCAGATGGATGTGCTGCGATGACGAGAGGCAACACTCTCAAGCTGTTCAAGGTGCATTGTCAGAAACGTCAAAGAGAAACAAGCCACCCCTATTGGCTTGAGTGAGTCAATAACTAATTAACAAATTAAACTGTTTTAACCAAATAGAAAAGGACAAACCACCTTGGGTTGGGTAGTAAATATGCAGCAGGACTTATTCGACATCTCAATCTCAGTGTTGAAGCAGTAAGAACACCCACACTTCCGTCTTCAAAGCTCACATATATTGATTGGCTGTCACAGGAGTATGTTGCATATGTGATGGGACCACTTGCTTCTCCAGGAACCCACTGTTTGACAAAATAATTCCAAAGTAATATTAGTAAACCTCAAGATAAATCCCAAATCACATAGGTGCTATCAATAACTAGCAAAATATACTGATAATAAAGCAATTTCCAAAAAGTCAAATTTGGCAATGCTGGCACACTTCTTACTACATGCATGAAACTGAAGAGCAATTATATTCTGATGTGCGTGCACTTGATATAAACATAGATTTTAGGAATAAAAAAATTATAATACAGCAAATAAAGCTCAGACACCTGGTTTAAGCATTCCAGTTTTGGTGCTTCATATATAGCTATCTGTGTTTCATTAACTACCAGCAAATGCATCTGATCTAGGTGAAATTGAACACGAGTATCTGCATGAGGAGATGCTGCTCGCACATTCGGGATTTGCAAGAACTTACTAGCTTGCTTCTCCCATACATCTGTGCTCCAGACGCACAGCTGCAGGGAAAGAAGGATGTGGAATAATAAGCAGACATATATGGAGAGTTAATTCCATAACAAATACTAAAAATCATTTTATAAGTCATGAACATACAAGGTAACTCCTATAAATTTCTATATAGTTTTTTATAGGATAACCAATCAACAAAACATGTGGGAAAGACATGATATAAGCATAATAAATATATATGTTTTCAGCAAGCAAAAATTCTAGGGAATCATTCCCTAGCCAAGCTCTCTTTGGTCCTTAACAAGATTAACTCAAAATCAGCCAATTACCTTAAAACTAGCTTTAAACATACCTAAGTTCCCATATCAGAGTATTGTTAAACTGCTTTAGGACAACACAAGCATGCAAGGGATGAACGCCACTATTCCTTACCTGACTGTCAGCTCCTGAAGATACAAGCACATTTAGTGTATGAGAGAAGGCAAGACCTGTTATTCTTTTCTGATGACCTTTTAACTTTGTTTTCACCTGTGAAATCCAGCACATTGTTAACCAAACAATTTCCACTTATTAATCAACAGCCATCAAAATTTTAGTCAATTAAAAGGACCTCATCCACCCGAACGTTGTAAATTTGGATTGATGAATCATCCATGCCTATGGCAATGATATTATTGTCCTGAGGATGAAATGCAAGAAAGGTAGCAGCTGGTGGTGGGGGCATAAATGTTGTCATCGTCTGCATATTAAGAAAGCACAAAATTCTGTATGAAACTAAATTCTGCAAACTGAAGATCCCCCCAAAAGATAACCAGAACATCAGTCAGTTTCAATTTAATAACCAATTGATAGTCTCAGTATTTAGTCAAAATTCTTTGAACTTCACAATTATATTTTAAAAGTTTATCTTTTTAAATGTCCTTTTAACCTAAAAACTGAGCTTCCCTAAAAATGTATTCATGTCCAAAGAATGAAACGAATGGAGAAAGGACCTACCTTAAATGTCATCATATTGAATAGCGAAATTTTAGCCCCTGAAGCTGACATAACATAAGAATCATTCTTGGAAAGTGCAAAGCAAGGAACAGCATCTTCAGGATTTGTATCACCTATATCATTAATCATTAATATTCCACTTGAAGGCTGCCATAACTGTGGTGCTACACTAGTTGTGGCCTACAACAGGCAAGATCTTAGTTAATACCTAGCTCATAATAACATTAAGAAAATAAAAACAAACAGAAAAACAATAGGATACAAAGTATGCAACCTAGTAAAGAGTTGGTAAAGAAATTTCAATACCTTCCCATTTAAGTTTCGATCATTCCTCTGCCATTTCCAAAGCTTGTGTACGGCATTAGATGCTAATGCCAATATGGAAACTCCAGAATTTGTATATATTAGTCTAGAAACCTGACATCAAACACAAAAATAAATGATTGGCCTTGTCTTTTAATAAATAAATATTGTCATTGAAAATTTGTTAAATTTCAAATCAATAACTGGCTAAAGACCAAAATAGTCTCTCACGGTATTTTATGTGTCAATATTCATCGAGTCACTGAAAATTATCATATGAAATATAGTATTTCTTTCTGTAGATTATCATTCACTATCCATAGAATAAAATTGCAGCCATAAATAATGCAAACTGCAAACATTTCTACTGATAATTTTGGTCCTAAACAGTTAATAGATCCTAAAAAACACAATAGCTGTCTACCGCACAGCAGAGGATACATCTTATTGAATTATTTATGAGCAGATGATTTTAGAAAGGCCACAAAAAGTGGTATTCAGGCACAATTATTACCAAGTTCTATAAAGTTACACAACCAGAGACAGAGCTTTACCCTCATTGCCGTCAAACTATCAGGAAGCCTTAAGGAGCGGCATTGTGTTGGTTCATTGATTTCTGTAAGTTTCCAGATTCTAGATTTTTCCACAGACTCATCTGCAATTCTGGGCTTTACATCCGCCAAACTTCGACTATCGCTGTTCTACAGAGACTTAAACCAAAAAAGATTAGATCATAACAGATCATAAGTTTTTTCATGCATAAATTTTGTAAAGATTAACATCACAATATTAATACATGTATGTAAATTTCTTCCCAAAGCATTTAGGTCACGATTATGTGAGATAACTCAC